ATTTAGGCAAATCAGACTGCCGTTTGTCACAAATCTGGATGATAAAAATTAAAATTTCCGGAGGCAATTTAATTTCCGCTGAACGATCACCTTTTAATAAATTCGGAAATAAGTAATTATTATTACCATATCAGCATTTGTACTATAACAATGAATAAATAAATAAAATAAATAATTATTGATCCCTAAAAATTTGGAAGCGTTGCTACTACCTAGTTATTCCCTATTCAAAATCCTACATCCTATAAATTATACCTTTTATTAATATATAACGCTACTCTTCTCACAGCGTTGGCGGACCATTACACCACTAGACTATGTTCCAAAAGGATACAAGTAACCGAAGCTGGCAGTTCGGTTGCTCAAGTGGTCTTATATAGTTTGTCCCGGAAGAGGCACCCGAGCGCATTCCGTGACAACTCTCTCTTTATTTAAATAACTTACACCGTAATACTTACCGCCTTACGGCTAATGAATATCCCCGTTCAAATTCCTACCCGATTCTTAAAGTGCTAGAATATTATAAATCCCTGCCTATTTGAATGACAACTTCCTTCTATCGTAGCCCTCTTCCCGGGATTCACGAAACCCGGGAAGGGGGGCCGGACAGTCCACACACAAATCAAAGCAGCCCTACACCGGATCGAGGCCGCCGCCTCCAAAACCCTCCGGACCACCATGCCAGTCTGGAAAACGGTACAACGCACAGTCCCCTTCTGGCTCGTCGGGATCGCCCCGGCGGAGATCCTCGGGCGAGAAATCGCCAGAACAGCCGCCAGGCTACACACACTCCCGGTCAACCACCCCCTCACGGAGAGACGGCTCGGCACCACAGTGACGGGCTGGTCGAGGCTGACAAGCATGGCCAACCTACACCCCCCCAACGGCGGAGGCCCCCGGCCCCTGGACCCCGAGACTCCAAGCGCTTCGGGAATGGCTGAACCCGGGGGCGGAGGCCCCGCCCAAAAGACCCCACATACAGACGCTCCCACCGGAAGCAGACCCCGACCTGTACTGGCAGACCCACAGACCGCCATACCTCCAGGACACCCCTGGCACCACAACAACCCCTACCTCGACCTCCCGCGGTCATACCTCGCGAGGTGGATAGGAGAGAAAACCGGACACTACGACTTCCACTCGTACCATGACCGCTTCAACCACCCCCCGAAGCATACAAGAACTGCTTCTGCGGAGAACCCCTCGAGAAAGGACACTTCTCACAATGCCCACTCGTGGCCTACAAGAACCCACTGGCGACAAAGGACACCCCCAGTGCCTTCGGCTCAAACTACGCCACTTACCTAAACAGGATACACAATCTCAAGGCCGACGGATACACCGGCGCCCGCGCTAGGGCGGACGGCAGTATCTACGGCATCAGAACGATCAGGCCGGAGACCCCGGACCCAGACGACGAACCACTACCCCTCGAGATGCCGGGACACGCACCGGCCGAACTCGAAGGAATCAACTACGACGGACGAACGGTAAGAAGGCTGGAGGAGGACACGGAGATGGAGGAGGAGGAGGAGGAAGGAGGGGAGTGAGGGGAGCCGGACGCAGTAGTTAGAAACAACAGGGTTTTCCACCCCGGGAAGGTGCCCGAGGGTTTTTCCCGATCGATGTACCTATGCCCAGCCGCCGCCGCGGGCACGACCCATTATCATAGATTGGTAGAACTAGGTCGAAAAATTCATTCTTCTTCTTCTTCTTCCTTCTATCGTATGATTTCCTTACATTCGAATAGAAACTTTTTAATCAAATTACTGACCAGGTAGCGGAATTAAAGATCGGGCCTCGGGAAGGACGGTGAGGGTATACCAAGAGGAAGATAAACATCGAAGGCACGGCGTCGACACGGCATCGTTGCAATAGAAAAGCAGAGGGTTTTCATCCGGCTACGGTACAGTTTTTCCCACCGACCAAGAACGGAAGCAGCACCGCATACTCACTGGGTAGACTATATGAATGGTTTAGCGTGATAAGACAATATATATAATATATATATATTAGCAGAAATACACTTTGGAATGTCAAAAATCAAAATTCTATGCAATGTTTCAATTGAAACCAAGTTTGATACGTTTACTTATGTAATTTTATATAATGAATATAAAAAATATCAATAATTGAATGATGTTCAAAAGTTCATCAAAATTGTGATAAAATCATCCTCGCTTGGTTAATTATAGATGCCCGTTTCACTGCCTCACTTAATCGCTCACCAATTCAGCTCCGATTAAGGGGAGTCTATTGTAATCAAAGCCATACGAAAATAGGTTTGCAAATTAACTTTAAATAAGTTTTTCCTACTGGTGAAAATTAGAATCACTCACAATTAGGTTGCCAAATTAGAGCCTGTCGCCCCTATCGTTGAATCTATGAACGCTACAATGGTCCAATCCTTGCATGACCTTTTAAAAACTTGAAAAAAGGGGAGATCCAAACTCTGAAAGAAACTATGACCAACTAAATATTTTTAAACATATTCGCTCCAAAACTAAAAATAAAAATATAATCCTCCCTACTATCTCAAAAGATACTAGCCCACCGCTCCTACATTAATTAATTATTCGCTTTTCAACCGTTCCCTCAATCGATAGTACTAATATCGATAATAAAAACAATAACCCAATTCTACAACGTTCTAACCATTTAACCTCTAAATAGTTGGACCCGTCTAAATTCTACAATTAATGTCATGCCTTGGTACCATGCCTTTTAATTGGCTGTATTACCTACATGCCTCATTTGTTGCAGTTACCCGTTGGACCCACTTGCCATTTCATTCTTGTATGTATTCGTCTCAGCCAGACTCGCACTTCCTCCTCTTCTCTTTTACTCTCTATAGTTAATTATTTATTACATTTGTTAAGTTATTCGTGCGCGCTACCCTCGAGACCTACGTGCCGTGACAATCAAAACAAAGAAAATAACGTACCATTCGAAATTAGCGCTAACTGCTACCCTTCCGGCCGCGATACATTTTTTTACATTAAACGCCACTTAGCCGGCAACGCTTATAAAAATTTAATACCCTACCTCAATGAACACTACCCCAAGCTAAATCTCTACTTAAAAAAGCTCTAATAGTTTA